TTAGAACTAACTTATAAATCAGCTGTTTCAAACAGAATAGACCCACAAATTCCAAAACTGTTCAACAAGTTTCCAGACAAGCCTTGGAAGCAGGAAGCCTGTTTAGTCTATTATGTACAAAAGCCATGGTACTATTCCAACTATCCTAATTACAATTTCAATGGGGAAAGCCAAGTCAAAATTCCAAATTGCAACAATAAGAAGCATTTCCTAGTCCAGACTGGTAGGACATGTTAGCAATCTCAATACTTGGAATGCTGAGGCAGGAGGACTGTGAGTTCAAGGCCAGTCTGGGTTACACAGTGATACACCCTGTTAACCAAAAGACAGAAACAAGACAGAGAGAGAAGGACTGCTGCAAGTTAGAGGCAGTCTGATCTACATAGTGAGCCCCGGTCAGCCAGGGCTATATATCAATATAAGACCTTGTTTCAAGAAACCAGCATAGGCAATGACATGTGCCCATATCTCACAGTTCTCTAATGGTCCCAACTTGGGGAACAAAGGTATTTGCCCTCCAGAGTTAGAGGCGCACAGGTCTGGGTGTCTCTCTAAGACCTTAGAGGCATGACTGGAAGAACTCAGCAATGTTCAGGAAATATAAAAGGCTTTGACCTTACATAAACTACTCTCGTTCTCTCTCTCCTTTTTTTTTTGGTCTTTTTTTTTTTTTTTTTAGACAGGGTCTCCCCGTAGCCCCAGCTGGTCTGGAACTCACTATGTAGACCAGACTGGCCTTGAACTCAGGCTCATCTATTTGTTTTATTTTTTTGAGACAGGGTCTCCCGGTAGCCCCAACTGGCCTGGAACTCACTATGTAGACCAGGCTGGCCTCAAACTCACAGAGATCTGCCTGCCTCTGCCTTCCAAGTGCTGGGATTAAAGGCATACCACCATGCCCAGCTAGCTTTTGTTATTTACTTATTTTTTTCTGATGGCAAAAGTAGAATTTTTTTATTGAGCTTTTTAAATTTCATACATTTCCCACTCAAATCCAGACCCCTCCCCTATCCATACCTCCCCCTATTATCCCACCAAACCCTATGCACTCTGCCAAACATGCTGAGTCCTATTCATCCAGGTGTTTGTACCCAAATATCCTGCAGTGTAAATGCAGCCACTGGAGTCTAGTCAGTCCATCCAGTGGTCGTATGTAAGTCATACTCTCCCTCACCCAGCAGCAATCAGTCTTCAAATAGTTCTCAATCTAGTGCTGGCTGGCCACCTAGTTCTCACCTCCCCTCTGGGCCCTTAATTGAGCTGACATAGATTCTGCACTCAACGCCACCACTGCCACAGGCTCACATGAACAAGCCTCCAGTGGTCTGGAAGCCTCCACCTCCGTGTGTTCATGAACCAGCCCTGGCTCTCAAGATCTTTCTGCCTTCTCTTCCCAATGGTCCCTGGGTGGGTGACGTTCCATAGCTTTTGGGTTTATTTTTTTGTCTTTTTGAAGACACCTATAGCCCCAGCTGTCCTGGAACTCACTATGTAGACCAGGCTGGCCTTGAACTCACAGAGATCCGCCTGCCTCTGCCTCCCAAGTGCTGGGACTACAGGCATGCACCACCATGCCTGGCTGCTTTTGTTATTTTTTGAGATAGCTAATATACAGCCCAGGTTGGACTTAAATTCACAATCCTCCTACCTCTGCCTCTAGAGTGTTAGGATTATAGGGATGGGCTACTATGCCTGGCTAAGTTTTACATTTCATTGCTTAAATTTCTTTTGAGAATTACATACAATTTTTTGGGGGAGGGGGGTCTTTTTGAAGCAGGGTCTCCCTGTGGCCCCAGCTGTCCTGGAACTCACTATGTAGACCAGGCTGGCCTCGAACTCACAGAGATCCGCCTGCCTCTGCCTCCCAAGTGCTGGGACTACAGGTGTGCACCACCACACCCAGCTGAGAATTACATACAATTTTTATGAGCATTATTTTATTTTATTCCTCTTTTGTAGTGTTGGAGACCAAACCCAGGACCAGTGTACACACTAGGCAAGCACTCTCCAACTAAGCTACATTCTCAGCCTTTGAGTATAATTTTAAAAATTTTTTAAACTACGATAAGCCATTTTATACTTTTTTTTTTTTTTTATGGTGCTGGGGATTTGAACCCAGGTCTTCATGCTTGCAGAGCAAGCTTTCTTACCCACTGAGCCATTTCCCCATTTCTCTTAAGATGATGTGTCCTCTCTAGATAAAATTGTGATCTGGATCGGGCGTAGTGGTGCATGCCTTTAATCCCAGCACTTGGGAGGCAGAGGTAGGCGGATCTCTGTGAGTTCGAGGCCAGCCTGGTCTCCACAGTCTCCACAGTGAATCCAGGACAGCTGGGGCTACAGGGAGACCCTGTCTCAAAAAGACCAAAAAAAAAAAGTGATCCGAGGGGCTAGAGAGATGGCTCCGAGGGTAAGAGTACATACTGCTCTTATAGATGACACAAGTCTGATTCCTAGCACCCGTGTCATGTGGTTCGTAAGTGCCTATTACATATCAGTTCCAGGGGATCCAATGCCTCTGACCACCACCAATACCTGAACTCACATGCACATACCCTGACAAACAAAGACACAGACACATACACATAATTAAAAAATAAAACAGATCTGGGGCTGGAGAGATGGCTCAGCGGTTAAGAACACTGGTTGTTCTTGCAGAAGACCCGGGTTCGAATCCCAGCACCCATATGGCAGCTAACAACTGTCCATAACTCCAGTCCCAGGGGATCCGACAGCCTCTTCTGACCTCTGTGGACACTGCACAACACAGATACACTTACCCACATGCAGGCAATACATGCATACACATAAAATAAATAAATAAATTAATTAATTAAAAATAAAATAAAATAGATCTTTTTTTAAAAATGCAATTACAGCCAGGCATGGTGGCGCATGCCTTTAATCCCAGCACTTGGGAGGCAAAGGCAGGAGGATCTCTGTGAGTTTGAGGCCAGCCTAGTCTACATAGCGAGTTCCAGGTCAGCTGGGGCTACAGGGAGACCCTGTCTCAAAAAGACAAAAAAAAAAGCAATTACAGGAGCTGAAGAGATGACTCAGTGGTTAAGAGCACTGACTGCTCTTGCAGAGGACCCAGGTTTGATTCCCAACACCCACATGGTGGCTATGAACCATCCTTGACTCCAGTTCCAGGGGAATCCAAAGCCCTCTTCTGACCTCCAAGGCACTACACGACACGAGTGCACTCACATACATGCAGGCAATACAGTCATACACATAAAATAAAAATTAAAAATAAATAAAAATGCAATTACAGAAACAATCAGAAATTACAAATACACAAGACTAGAAAGATTCGTTAGACTGAGCCTGGGTATAGTTCAGTGGTAGAGTGTGGATCTGGCATATATAAGGACCTGACTTTAAAACCAAACATTGGGGGCCAAGCATGGTTGTGCATACCTTTAATCCCATCCCTAGGGAGGCAGAGGCAGGCAGATCTCTGTGAGATCAAGGCCAGCCTAGTCTACAAAGTAAGTTCCAGGTTAGCTGGGGAAAAACTAGGATCATTAGGAATTGGAAAGATGGCTCAGCTGTTAAGCTCTCTGGCTGCTCTTGTGGAGGACCCAGGTTTGGTTCCTAGCACCCACATGGACGCTAACAACCATCTGCATCTCCAGTTCCAGAGGATCTGACACCCTCTTCTGATCTCTGTGGGTACTGCATGACACAGGTGCCCTTCCATACATTCAGGCAATGTACTCATACACATAAAATAAAAAATAAATATTTAAAAAATAAATTAAACAAAAAATAGGGTCATCAAGATGGCTCAGTGGGTTAAGATGCTTACCACTGAGTTTGACAACCTGAGTTCACTTCCCAGAACCTATGGTGGAAGGACAGAACCAACTCCCAAAAGTGAATGCTGTACCTGCACATATGTGCCTGCACTCACACACATACACACTAATAATAAATAAAATAAAAATTTAAAAACCTAATGTAAGAGGATTAAAGTTTTAAAAAATTATGTCCTGGGAGATAAGGCTGTAGCTCAGTTGCACAGAACTTGCCTAGAATGCATAAGGTCCTGGGTTCCATTCCCAGCACTGAATAAAGACAACAAAAACTCATTTCCTAAATGAAGTCAAGAAAAAATGGCTGTCTTTATTTTGAATTAAATTTGTATGCTAATCAAAAGTCCTAATAAAAGAGCATTTCTTTTTTACTATCAAAGACCCCAAGAAACACATTAAATAAGACTCAAATGCATGTGAATGTAAATAGCTTTGAATTCAGACTGGAAAACTAATTTATTCTATAAACATGTGGAACTTTTTTATAAACCAATGATTCCACACAATAAAAACTCAAAACTATAGCACATGACCATACAAACAATACTAAGAACTTTTGTTTGTACAGTACTAGAGATTAAGCCACAGCCTCACATATGCTAGGCAAGTGTATTACCCCTGAGCTATATCCCTAGCACCTCACTAAATTTTTTCAATAGTATGTTCTTGTTTGTTTGGTCTTTTGGAGACTGGGTCTCCCTATAGCCCCAGCTGGCCTGGAACATGCTATGGCAGACCAGGCTGACCTTGATTTCGAGAGATTTGCCTGCTTCTGTCTCTCAAATGCTGGGGTTAAAGATGGGCGCCACCACACCAGGCTATTAATAGTATGTTTTTTGAGTATTTGTTTCCAATTTGAAAAATCTAAGGACAAGGTATAAAATACAAACTGGTTTCTTTAATCTTTTCTTTTTTGTGTGTGGTACCAGGGGATTGAACTCAAGGTCTCAAACATGCTGAACATTAACTCACACATGAACCACAACTTTCTAACTCTTAACCTACTTGAAATGAAAGCAATTCTGAACTTGGCAAGCACAAAACTTTTTACAAGGACAGACTATCAACAGAAAGAGGATAAAGGCTATCATTGCAGTGGCTTGGCGCAAAATGAGATGGTGCCCTCATTGACCTCTGGAAGACACTTTCCTACCAAGTCTGACAGGAAACATACTCTACCTCAATGTCCTGAAGACTGAACTCCTTCTGATCTGTGAAGTTTGCAGCCCCAGCACTGAGTTCCATGAGCATCTTGGCGATCTCAGGCTTTATGGCTGATGTCAACCTGCTGGCTGCTTCCATGACATGCTCCTGCACATCTTTGAGCTGCATGGCGGCCTTTGAGTAGTGAGAGTTCCTGAACACGGTGCTGAAGAGATCTGTGAGGAAAGTACTGGCACGGCAGAAGACGTTGAGGGCATCCAGGTACTTGGAGATGCCCTGCTGGATGTCAGCAATGGGAGTGGAGTGGGGCATGGCATGGTAGCAGCTGCCTGCAGCGGTCAGACTGCCCAGCGGGGCAGAGGGCGCCGTTGATGCCAAGGGAGCACTCAGTGCTCGGCCCAGCTCGGGCATCGGGTACTGCTGGTGCTGCTGCACCTTCTGCTTGGACCCGCCAAGCAGGAAGCGCCGCTTGTAGTCCATTTTACTGTCCTGGGCACTGCAGCAATACATGCGGGTAGGGAACTGTCCCAGGGACTGCTGGCAGGTCAGGGTTCTAAGTCCTTTTTGTTTCAAAACTGTAGCTAGGTATAAAAATAGTGGAGTTCTGCAAATTTAAGTTTTAAAAAAGGCATTTCCATGAGGCAGGTGACCATGTGATCCAACATAGAGGAAAGACAACAGGATTATATAATTAATATTTTCAGTGTAGGTAGGACCTCTGACACAAAATCAAAGTGTGTCCAAAATGCTGTGTAAGAACAGTTTAGCATTCTAGTCGTAATAAAAAGATATGCTTGCTGAGAAAAATGTTTACTTATAATTGCTTTGCAAGAATATTTTGATACTTATATTTAGAATGGCAGAAAAATAACTTAACTTTTTAAAATGTAATATAATGTATCTTCAATACACCAAAAAAGAACCCCAAGCTGGTCAACAGCAGTTTAAAAAGCAGTACAGGGTTACTTCACACAAGTCCGCAAGGAAGAGCAAACCTCTGCAGAATTTTGACAGAGCCTGCCTGTCAAATCCATTTACCTGGAGAGCGTCTCAATGCTACGAACTTACAAATCTCCTGTAGGGTTTTCTGAAAACAAGTTTTCTTTAAACATGGCATCTGTCACTGTACGTCTTCTCCTTTCCTTTTCTTTGCTGAGGTAGCGGTTCCCTTGTAACATTAATAAGAAGTGCTTCCAGACTGGGTTGGCCCTCAACTGTAAAGTCTGAAGCAAGAATGCACAGATGTATTCATAAGGCCTCTAAGTCATTTCCTGTAAGGGGAAAGAAAGAAGATAAAGTCAGGAAGGCTATCAGACAAGGACTAATTCTGGAATGGTAACTTCTACACTCCATCACCCACATTGGTGGGCTGCAAATGAAGAAATGCTAAGCTTCACAAAAGCACGGTGAAAGTGGGCTTTTGAGACAGGATCTTACTGTATATCACAAAAGTGGTGAAAGCTCAACTAGGAAAAGAGGACTCTTAGAGAACTCTTCAAGTTGGAGGCTGGGGATGTAGCTCAATTGATGGAATACTTGCCTAGCACAAAGCCCCTGGATTCAGTGCCCAGCACTGCATAAACTGACTGTGATGGCACATGCCTCTAATCCCAGAACATGGGAGGTAGAAGCAGGAGGTCAGAGCTTAAGGTCATACACATGAGCAACATAACAAATTCAAGGTTGATCTTGTCTTTAAAAAAGGAAGCCAGGTGTGGTGGTCCTTTAATCCCAGCACTCAGGAGACAGAGGCAGGCAAAACTCCAGCCTAGTCTAAATAGTGAGTTCTAGGCCAGCCAAGGATATACAGTAAGATCCTGTCTCAAAAAAACTAACCAAAAAAGAAAAGAAAAAAAAAAAATTCAGGAGGCTAACAACCATCTGTAGCTCCAGTTCCAGGGGATCCAACATCCTCTTCTGACCTCTGCAGTCACTGCACGATATGGCTATGTTTACATATAGGTAATACACTCATACACATAAAATTTTTTTAAATTTAAAAAATTTTGAAAAGATTTATTTTTATGTGTATATTTCTATGTGTATGTATGTGCACGTGGATACTTGAAGAGGCCAGGAGAGGGTATCAGGTTCCCTGGAACTGGAGTTATAGGTGGTTTTGGGTTGGCAGGCATGGGTATTGGGAACCAAACTCTGGTCTTCTGGAAGAGCAAGAAGCATTCTTAACCACTGAGTCATCTCTCCAGCCTCCAGAAATTACTTTTAAGAGAAACAAATGTAGCACTTTGGAGGCTGAAGTGGAAGTACCATGAGTTTGAGACCAGCCTAGGCTACATGGCGAGTTTCAGGCCAGTCTGGGCTAAATGTAAGATTAAAACACAAAACAAAACAAAAAAACCCTAAATTAAATAAATAAATAACCAAACAGAAATTCTGGAGCTGAGACAGATGAGATGGCTTATGGCTGTAATCCCAGCACTTGAGATCCTGATGCAGAAGGAATGCTATGAGTTTGAAGCCAGCCTAGGCAGAGCACACAGTCCAGTCCAGCTGGGTTGCAGAGTAAGACCCTGTCAGGGAGCAGGAGGCTCGAGGCAGGGTGGAGAGAGTCTGAAAGCAGAAAATATAAAAACTAATGCAAGAAACACATTAAGTGGTTCAGTAGCAGATTTGAGCAAGAATCAGTGAACTTGAAGACAGGCTTACTGGGCAACAGAAAGAAAAAATAACAGGAAAATGACTCTTGGAGACCGATGGGACACCATCAAGCATGCTAGTGTATGCCTGATGCTATGGAATCCCAGGAGGCGAGGAGAGGCATGCAAAGAGTATCTAAGAAACAATGAATAAAGACTCCACAAATTTGACAAAAACATTTATAAATCCAAAAAGGTAAATGAATTCTAGGAAGATAAACTACAAGATCCACACTTGGGACACATCATGATCAAAATGTCTAAAGATGAAGACAATCTTACAAGCAGTGAGAGAGAATCAAGTCATCACAGAGCTAATTCCTGTTACCCACAGTCATTACAAAATGTCATCAAACACTGAGTAAACACTGAACCACTGTTCCTAGAAGACACATACTGAGTTGGGTTCCCTTGAGCATCAAGTCAAAACATTTCAGCAAGAATCAATACATAACTTTGTTTTATGTGTGTTTGTTTAAAGATGCCTTACTTGAGTTGGGGGTATAACTCAGTGGTAGACTGTGTGTTTAACATGTGCAAGACCTCAGGGTCAATCCCTAGCACTAAAAGCAAAAACCCTCAAACCCTTACTTAATATACAGTTGATTAACATTAAATGCACAGCCAACAGCACAGTAAGTCAGGCCTGTGTGAACCTTATCACACAGGCACATCTCTCCACAGGCACATCCAACCTCCCTATGCTTGGAAACATTAGACAGTAAACATTTGGCACTGTGCCATGGGGCTGTTTTAAACAGTGAAAACACCAAAAAAAGCACAAAAATGTAAAAACGTGGTATTAAATAGACCATAAAAAGGACATCTATTATAGTCTGAAGACTGTACTCAAGAAAGCAGAGCAGGTGCCAGGCGTGGTGGCGCACGCCTGTAGTCTGGATCTCTGTGAGTTCAAGGCCAGCCTGGTCTACATAGTGAGTTCCAGCTGGGGCTACAGGGAGACCCTGTTTCAAAAAGACCAAAAATTAAATAAATAAATAGTAAAATTTATTTGTTTGTTTGTTTATTTATTTATTTTTGGTCTTTTGGAGACAGAGTTTCTCAGTATTAAATAAATAAATAAATAAATAAATAAATAAATAAATAAATAATAAAATAAAATAAATTTTTTTAAAAAAAGAAAGCAGATCATGCCTTGTCTGAACTAGGAAACTGCACGCTGGTGACTAACACTTTTCTACCACTCTGTGTCTGCAAATGAACACAAAAGCTCATGAATATTGACTTGGGATACAAAAAAGTTTTAACAAGTAGGCAAATTACCAAATACAGAATCAGTAAATATTGACTATATATTTAATGCAACTTAAAATACTTGTATTCAACATGATGAGATCTCGTCTTTAAAATCTAATACAAGTATCAGTCTATGTGATAATCACAGCATTATTGAATGTCTTGAAAGATGCTCACAAGTACTAGTAAGTAATGAAACCCCACCACATTTAGTGTAATATTCAGCAACTCTATCACTCACAACCTTTAAGGATTTCATTATGATTTTAAAAGTTCAGGTCTATTATATCTTTAAGACATAAATCATGTGATACTTTAGAACCATCTCACTTAAAAAGTATATGCTTCCAGAGAAAATTGTATCTGGTGATGTTTTGCAGTACTGGAATCTAACCTAGGAACTTGGGCATACAAAGGAGGTACTCTGCCACTGAGCTATACCTCAAGTCCTTGGATTTTTGGGGCAGTATCTCTTGCTCTGTACCTCAGATTGGCATTATCCTAAGGCCATAAGCATCAGAATGGAATTGCCCAAATCCAAGGAAACACATGCTATGGACCCAATGTTAATTTCCACATAAAATTCATATACTGACACCAGTTTTCAATGTAATACCATTTAGAGGTGAAGCCTTTGGGAGATAACGGTCCTGACGGTTAAGTCCTCTTAAGTGGGATTAGTGCTCTTATTTTAGAAGGTCAGAAACTCTGTCTGAAGGTCACAATAGTATAGAAAGGACGGTCGTAACACCCAGCAAAGCATTTTAAAAATGGAAATGAAAGCCAGGAGTCGGGGCATATGCTTATAATCTCAGACTCAGCGGCCGAGGCAAGAGAATCATCTCCAGTCCTGTGCCACCCTGGGCTACAAGTACAACAAAAGAAACTTGAATATAAGGAAGGAAAAGAAATATATTTCAGTCAGAAATGGTGGTCCACATCTGTGATTCCAACACTTGGGAGGTGAAGGATCAGGAGATTAAGATCATACTCAGATCCTGTTAGAGGCCAGTCTAGATTATATGAAACCCTTGACTCAATGAGAGGAGGAGGAGAAGGGGGAAGAGGAGGAGGAAGAGGAGGAGGAGGAGGGGGAGGGGGAGGAGGGGGAGGAGGAGGAAGGGGAGGAGGGGAGGCGCAGCTGCCCAGGCTCGGGGCAAAGGATATGGCCATTCCGTGATCTTTTTGGCGTATTTTCTAAAGGAGGGACTGGAACTACATAGTTCAATGGACACCTGGGATGTATGAAGCCGTTTGATTCCCAGTACTGCAAAAGAAAAAACAAAAACAAAAAACAACCCCCAAACAAAATACAAGTGTTTAGCAATCTTTTTGTTTGTTGAGACATGGTCTCATGTAGTGCAGGGTGGCTTCAAATTCACTATGTAGCAGAGAATAACCCCTAATACCTGATCCTCACCTCTATTTCTCAAATACTGGAATTCCAGGCATGTGCCAACACAGTGGCCATTTAGCAATTTTTGAAGCCCATACTGACACTAACCTTATTAAAACAAGGATGCAAAGAAGCCAGTAAAAACCAATGAAGCAGGGCTGGAGAGACGGTTCAACAGTTAAGAATACCGGTTGTTCCTGCAGAAGACCTGGGTTTGAATCCCAGCACCCACATGGCAACTAACAACCATCCATAACTCTAGTTCCAGGGGATTTGACACCCTTTTCTGACCTCTGTGGGCATTGCATGATACGGGTGCACTTACCTACATGCAGGCAATACATGCATACACATAAAATAAAAAAATTAATAATTTTTTTAAAGTTAAAAAAAAAACACAAAAAACAACGATGGCTCAAGGACTTCCTCCTGATAATAAAATCAGACACACTCTTCTAGGAGTAATTACAAAAATGCTGATTCCTGGGCCTGGAACTATATAGCTCAGTCATAGCTACTCTCGCATGTGCAAAGCCCTGGGTTCTATCCTAAGCACTGAAGGGGGGAGCGCATTCCTACAGTACAACTCAAATCTAATCAATCTATCTTTGTGTGTAGATGCCAACAAAAAAAGGAAAAAAGGTACCAACTCCTCTCACCAAAACAGTAACTGTATTTCTTTTCTAAAAAATATTTTATGTGTATGAGTGTTTTGCCTGCATGTATGTAAGTATACGATGTATGTGCAAACCTGCGAAGGCTGGAAGAGGCATTGTATCCTCTGGAACTACAGACACAGTTGGTAGACACCATGTGGGTGCTGGGAGCCAAACCTAGCTCCTTTTGCAGGAGCAGCTGGTGCTCTTAACCACTGAGCCATCTCTCCAGGCCCAGTAAATATATTTGAGAACAAGGTGTTGGTTCGACAGTTCAATGAAAAATTTCATGTATACTATAACTC